GTGGTCGCGGAAGAGCGCGGCGCCCGTGGGGTAGAGGCTCGCGAAATGCTCGCGGAACGCGGCCGCGGGCTCGCAGCGCTTCGAGGGCCGCTTCGGGTCGAGCGCCTGCTTCACGTGGTCCCGCTCGTGGCAGTAGAGCGACGGGTCGAAGCCGTCGCCGAGGCCGCCGACGCCGACGAAGTACGCGCCCGCGACGCTCGCGGATTCGCCGAAGAACCGCGAGAGCCGCGGCGGCGCGCCGCGCCGCTCCCGGATGCCCTCGACGATGAATTGGCCGAAGTGGCCCACGCCGTCGATGCCCTTGCCGAACTCGGGCGACGTCGCGCTCGCCTCGCCGCGCTCCCGGCACGCCTCGGGGAAGTAGGTCCAGTTGCCGCTGAGGAGCGTCTGGCACGGCGACAGGTTGTGTTTGTCGACGCGCGCGGGCATGCCGCAGACGTGCGCCCGGATGACCGAAAAGTCGGGGACGACGGCCGGCGCCGCCAGGGCATAGCGCCACCAGGATGTGTTAACCATTTTGCGGCGCGGAGTGGGTGCGGCGTCGATCGCCGAAAAAATTGCCATTTATAAACTCTGAGTGGAGCTCGAGCAAAGCGCTCGATGTGGACGCCTCTGCTCCTCGCAGCGCTCTCGTGCCTTCAGGCAACATCCGTCGAACAAACGCAGCCGATCTTCCTCCTCGCCGCGACGGACCGCGTCATCTCCTCTCTCTCGCCGGGGAACGCGACGGAGGTCTCGAAGCACGACGACCTCGGCGCCCTGCTCCGGGACATTTGCGACGCGGCGCGGCGCGCCGTCGTCGTCGTCGGCAACGCGTCCGAGGCGTCGGTCGTGCGCGCTCGCCGGCCCTGCGACGCCGTCGACGCGCTCGTCGAGGGCGGCGGCGGCGCGCCGGGCGCGGAGGCGCGGAGCGGCCGCTGCGGCGGACCCGCGTGCCGGAGCCTCCGGCTCTTCAAGGTCCGCGCGATCGCCGCGGGCCTCGAGCAGGCGCCCGGCGGCGCCATCTACGTCGACAACGACGTCGCGCTCCGGGCCGGCGCCGCGGACGCGCTCTTCGCGCTCGTCGGCGCGGTCGCGGCCGCGGGCAGGGCCCTGGGCCTCGCGCCGGCGCCGTGGTGCGTCCCGCCGGGCCACGCGCTCGACGACGTGCCCGCGGCCTTCTGCGAGCGGAACACGGGGCTCATCGCCTTCGCCGACGTCGGCCGGTCGCTCGGCGTCGTCGCCGCGTGGCGACACGAGCTGGCGAGGAACGCGTCCTTCGACCGGGGCGGGAAACGGGTGATTCAAGGTCGCTTCAACACGAGTGTGCCGCGCGCGATCGTTCCAGAGAAAGGATCCACGCGTCGAGCCGAGAGATGACCGCCCGTCCAAAACGAGTGGAACATGACCGAGAGAGGAGCCTCCAAAGTTGGGAATGTCCCGCCCAAGGTTTTCCCGCCCAGGTCCTTCGACCACGACCAGATGCCCATGCGGCGCGCGCTCTACCGGCGCCGCGGCGACCTCCACGACCTCCCGGCGTCCGTGCAGTGCCGGCGCACGTGCGGCAAGCGGACGCCCTGCCCGGCGGAGGACAGGCCGCTCCTCTGGCACTACCACCGCGCCGCGCGCCTCCGCTTCGCGCGGCGGACGCCCGGCTGCGACGCGGCCGCGTGCTGCGGCTTCCGGCCCTAACTAGAACAGCGCGCTCGCGCGCGCGTGCCGCCGCTCCGCCGCGTCGCGGGCCCGGGACGCGCGCCGCGCGAAGTCCGCGTCGTCGTCCGCCGCGGAGACGGACACCGTCGCCGGCCCGAGCGCGCGGAGCGCGTCGTCGTCGCCGGGCTGGAAGCAGCCCACCCAGCACGACAGGGCCGGCGCGTCCGGGTCCGGCGCGGGCGCCGGCGCGCCGGCCGGCCGCCGCTTGGCCCGGCGCGCCGCGCGGCGCCTCCGCGGCCGCGGCTTCGGCGGCGCGCCCGCGGGCTCGAAGGCGGCCACGGGGAAGACGCCGTCGCGGAGCGGCGGCGGCGCCGCGCCGTCTTCTTCCTCGTCGTCGTCGTCGTCGACCTTCGCGGAGACGCCGAAGGGCGCGAGCACCGCGTCCCGGCCCCACAGCTCGACGGCGACGATGAAGACGACGACGGCGAGGCCGAGCGCGAAGGCGAGGCCGAGGAACGCGGAGAAGATCGCGCGCGCGTGGGACGTCTCGCCCTCGGCGGTGTCCGCGACGACGAGCATGAGCGCGGAGAAGAAGACGAAGACGAGCTCCAGCTGCGCGACCTCGGACACGAGGTCGTCGTCGTCCTCGATGAACGGCGCGGCGACGGCGTAGACCTTGTAGGACACGAGGGAGATGAGCAGGCCCATGGCCGCCTGCGTCGCGCCGCCGAAGGCGAAGACCGTCAGCCCCCCCGTCAGGGCGACGCGGCGGAAGCACTCGAAGACCGAGAAGAGGTAGCACCGCGGCTCGTACTCCTCGACGAGGAACCTGCGCGGGCATCGACCCGTGACGTCGGGGCCGAACTTTTGAACGTCGAGACCGTCGCGTCCACGTCGAAGTCGGGTCGAAGATTCGCGCGGCGGGGCACGCGACGGGCTCGACGGCCTTGGCGTGCCGCGTCTTCCGCGCCTCGATCTTGCGGCCCTGGGCGACGACGGCCGCGTAGCGCGCGCGCGCCTCGGCGAACATGTCGTCGACGTCGTCGAAGCCCGAGCCCGCGCGGTCCCGCGTCCGGATCGCGTCGCACTCGCGGTCGTCGTCGAGCGCGGGGTCGAGCTCGCGCCGCAGGCGGTAGAGCACGCAGAAGTAGGACAGCGGGATGCCGACGGGGTAGACGCACAGCATGAGGCCCACGTAGCCCCGCCAGGCGTTCCAGCGGTCGCCGCGGCACTCCACGGCCGGGTCCGCGTGGAGGACCAGCAGGTCGTCCTCGTAGTCGCCCGCGTCGTAGCGCGCGCACGACAGGAAGCGGAACGTGATCGACGAGCAGCCCGGGAGCACGCAGAACGTCAGGAGCAGCGCCGCGTAGGTGCCCTGGCTGTAGATCTCCGCGCGGCGGTCCAAAGCGGCCGCGGTCGCGCGCCGCGCGGCCGTGACGAGCGCGACCACCCCTAACCCCGCGAGCGGCGCGAGCGTCGTCGACACGAGCTGGTCGAAGTAGCCGAAGCGCCCGAAGCACTCCATGGGCACCCAGGACAGCAGATCGAAGTTCAGGTAGTTGGCCCAGGCCACGACCGGCAGCAGCCGCGCCGGGAACGAGACGTCGGGGAGGCTCCAGGGCATCGCGCCGACGATCTGGAAGAGGCCGAGCATGATTTTCACCTTGACGAGCCAGGTCGGCGGCGCGCCGCCCGCCTCGGCTTCCTGCTCGGCGAAGTCGTCCTCGCGGCCCGTGACCAGCATGTTGAGAGTATCCTGCAAGCGCGCGACGGAGCCCACGCGGAACCGCGCCCAGTAGGCGACGAGCGCCAGGACCACGGCCAGCAGGAGGCCGAGGGCGATGAGCTTCCCCGGCGATTCCGAGATGTCCATGGCCGGCGTCGCGCACTCGAGGCAGCGGTCGAGCGCGGCGTCGTAGAAGTGGTTCGCCGCGCACGTGCCGCAGAGCACGCCCTCGTGGCCGTCGCGGCAGAGGCGCGCCGTGTCGTTGCCGCCCCGGCAGGCGCCGTCGAGCTCGCACGCGTAGAGCTTCGTCGCCGACGCCGCCGCGCGCCAGAAATTCCGGGCCGCGGGCAGCGCCGCGAGCGCGACGCCCGCCGCGGCGCAGTCCGCGCCGGCGGGGCACGCCGGGCAGCACGCGACGCACTGGACGCCGCTGGCCGCCGCCGCCGCGCGGCCCTCCCGGTCGTAGTAGACGTCGTCGAAGTAGTAGCCGACGACGCAGTCGAGGCACGCGACGCCGCCCGCGCGCAGCGTCGTCGTCGGCGACGGGCAGGACCTGGGCAGCACAAGAGTGATTCAACGTCGCTTCAACGTGAGTGTTCCGCGCGCGCGCGTTCCGTAAAAAGCATCAACGCTTCGAGACCGTTCCGAGAGATGATCGCTCGTCCAAAAATCA